AGGGTTAACACTAGTCCCTCCTGGGAGAAACTTCTTACCATAGATGGTGCTTAGCACAGAAACTCACAACTGGCCAAAGCACAGAGAACAAATAACCGTGGGATGCTCACCCCTAAGTGGGCTATATCTGCTCTGTCCTTGCTCGAGGCTCAGGGAACATTGCAGAAGAAAGGATATAAAGACTGTAAGAGCCAGAGATCCAGCAGTACCAGGTCTAACACTGTCTACCAGACGTGACAGGACACTTAGGCTCATAAACTCGCACTAGTTGTGATTGCCTGCATAAGCCTACAGAAGACCAATCAGTCAACATTCCAGTATGGGGGAGGGGGTCATGAGCCTTGGAACGTGAGAGTCAATTTTTTTCGAGGGCTAGGCCCATGCTAGGTTGTCCATGCTCTAGTAAGTGGCCCTACACCTACATATATGGCAGGTTCTGATTGAACTCAGTGGGTTTCAGAAAGAGAGATAGAACGGAGAGAAGGAGAGGGAAGGAAGGAAAAGAGGAAGGGTATAGGGTAGTCTAGGAAGGAGTTAGAGGGGTTAAATGAGGGGTGGATATGACCTACATATTGATACATGTGTGTGCTGTGGGGCCGCAGTCAATCTAGATATAAAACCATCGGTGAACAGAGCAGAGGGTGTGGACCTTAAGAAATGGAGTCCCCTTGATAAACGAGTTCTAAAAGTGGCACCTCTGGGTCAGCGTGTAGCTCAGTGCCATTTGCCTAGTGTGCGTGAGGCCCTGAATTCAAGCTGCAGTAGTATGTGTGTGGCGGGAGGGTGTGTGTGTGTGCACGCGTGCATGCGTACGTGTGTGGTGCTTGTGCATGCATGTGTGTGCGTGTGTGCGTGTTTGCATGCATGTGTTCCTGTCATAGCCTTAATACCCCAGTGCTGGTATACTAATGGGCTCGGAGTTCCCACACAGTAATCCTTCACTTGTTCCTATTACTCTTGCTGCTTTCTTCAGCCTCACAGTAAATCACCCTGTCTGATTCTCTGAGGTTTTAATCTTTGGCTGCTAGCATTTGATCTATCTGAGGGAGTTGTGTTGCGTTCTTCCTTGTATCCAGTATCAGTGTATGTCACAACATAGGAAGGGAGTTTCGGTCCTTCTAGCCCAGTACCTGGCATTAATTTTTTTAAAGTACACTTAAAAAAAAACCAACAACAACAAAAGAAACATTTGTTTCTTTCCTTCCTAGACTCTGAGGCCTTCGTCAATGGTGGAGCCCACAGCGTGGACTTGACAAGCTCTCTGTGGCATTGCTATGTGAAAAACCAACAAGAAACCACTGCTCCAGGCAGTCAGGTAGTGCCCACAGTTGAACAAGCCCCGGACCCAGTGGGTGGGAAGCTTCTCAACCACCATTCCCTACTGCAGTCTGGACACAGCTCCTGACTCCAAGACGTCCCTTCCTGAGCCGTGAGAACTCTCACTCACCTACCTGATGCTGGCAGAATGTTCCTGAAATCCTGCCCACCTCCCATCCCCACCCCTGGATGTGCCCAAGGCCTCTCTCCATCCAGCTGGGCGCAGTACACATGCAGTTCTGCTTTGTTCCAGGACCCAGGATAGCACTACATAGGCAGATCGGGCTGTCGGTACATGATGAAGGCACTGATGGCCAAAAAGGAACATGCTAGAAAGAAGACCAGAGAAAAGATATGACACACTCTCTGCCCAAGGGACAGACTAGAACCCAGGTTGCTGAACTTGCCTCAGTCTCCACCCTGAACTGGTTAGGCAAACAACCCGTGTTTGAACCTCAGGGTCTCATCCATAAAAACAGGCCCTCACTTGCTTTCTTTGCATGGGGGTAAACCAGACACTGACATTCAGCCATAGGAATGAATGTCCCAGGGCAGGGGCCTGAGCAGGACACTTGCTTACTGCCCGTCTGCAGGGCCTGAGTGCTTATGCAGGAAAGGTGAGAACTTCCCTGGAGTGTTGTGCTTGGAAGGCTCCCACCCCAGCAGGTGGTGCCAACACTGCTACTGCCCTGCAGCTGCCCTGAAGAACCACAAGGCTTTCCACCAGCATTTCTAGAATCCTTGGGTGCTCTCCCTGATAACTGTTACTTTGGGTTCGAAACCAAAAGCTTGCAGGTTGCATAACCTTTAGTCTGCAAAGATTTTCAGATCCTAACTCAGAAACGGACACTGTTCCAAACTCCCTTGTCTGAGAAGGCCCGGGGTGACAAAAATCCAGAAGGGGAAGAAGTTGCTAGCTGAAGATGCGAAAGGAGAAAGAAAGCAGGAGGAATCTGGTTAAATTTGCTATTAATCAGACATGCCTGACTTAATGTTACAGTTTAGAAAAATAAACCACAATAATGTCACAAGTAAATTAACTCTATGAGAGAAAAAGCGATTGTTAAGGTTTGAAATCTCTGGCCAAGCACAAAATCGCACAGTGGCACAACTCAGGTTGGTTCAGGGCTGACAATGGGCTAGAACCAAGTTCAAATCCCATTGAATAACGGACTCTGCAGTGGGTTAATTCAACTTCCCCAAGTTTCTGTTTGAGTGGAAACGATGCCCAACCCTTAAAAGCATTGAGAGCTTAAGTTAACTAAATCAATATACAAAAGGGCAGGGGTGGGCAGAATAATGACTTTCTAAATTATCGTGTTAATTCCTAATTCCCCCAAAGCTGCGACCATATTACTTTACTCGGAAAAGGAGCTACACAGATACGGTTTCAAGGCCTTGAAACTTCATGATAAATTGCGGCTATCCAGATGAACCTATACAATACCAGAAGTCCTTCTGAGTGAAGGCTGGAAAGTGAGAATCAGAGATGGCAAAATCGTGCTATGTGTTGCTGTGAGCCTTGAAGATGAGAAAGGAAGGACCAGGAATCAATGAATGCAGGGAGACCCTTGCAGTGAGAAAAGCAAGAGAATGGATTCTCCCCAAGAGTATGCTGGAGGAAAGGGCTTATAGATGCTTTAAAGTTAGAGTTCCCACATAAGATAATAATTTGCAGTCTTTTAAGCCTATGGGCCAGTGGTAATTTGCTACACTACACAAGGAAACCAGGTGGAGGATTTGAGCCTGCTTCAGCTAATGCCAGGCACACTTTAAGTTCTTAGAAACGGTGATCAGCAATAGCAGCTACTGATACCTAGAAGGATGGCTGTCATTCTTCTCTTCTAAGTCATCACACAGAGGGGCCATCTACTCCCCGCTCTCTCTATGGGCAGCCCACCCCTTGTGGGCGGTGGATAGATGGTTATAGAGAGTTCATTCTCAGGGGCGCCACAATTGCCCACCAGGCCGTCTTCCTCAACCCCGTTGCTTCTGATACCGCTTCAGACAAGCATGTACAGGTCTCAGGTGACCCCAGAGATTTCACATAACCTCTGCATTTCCTGGACATTGGACCCACTTTTTTTTTTCAGTTCTTTAGCTACTCTTCAAATGAAAAGGTTCTGATACTCACCTGATATCTCTACCAGGTGAAACTCAGGTAGGCACCCTCTGGATTCTTCAGCATCGTACGAAAGGGAAATCATAGCTAAATTCCACATAAGGCATGACTCCCAGTGAACCTAGAGAGCTCCTCTATCAGGAGTCCCTCAATCATACCTTCAACGGCTTTGTGATTGGAGCAGCTAAACAACACGGCCGCCTGACACCATGATGTCATGTGCTGTGATCTTTTGTATTGTAGCTGATGTTTTCTCTTGTATCGAAGCTGATGGCTCTCACCCTGACCTCACAGGGGACTCTTTTTAGGCTTAGATGTCTAATGCTATCATTTCTTTGTCGAATCTCATACCATTAGATTTAGCTTAGTACTCGAGTCTGTTCTTTGGGCCTTATCATGTCAACAAAAGTATTTTCTGCATTTCTTTTCAAAATATGTTGACTATGAAACAAGTCATCCATGTCTGTAATGCTAGTAATGATATCAAGTATATTTTTATAGTGCCATTGGTCAGCATATTTGAGTATGGCCACAAAATAACTCTAAATCTGTCTACTTGGTATTCTGGTATGCAGTTAAAATTACAGTTGTTGTTTGCTGCTATCCTGGGAAGTATTCTAGGACCTCTGCAAATACAAAACCCAAGGATGCTCAAATCCCTCATGCAAAGTGGCACAGCTGCATACCATCTACGAGCGTGCCCCTCCGTGCGGTATACCATATCTTGATCGCTCCTCATACCCTAAGCAATGTAAATGAAATGTGAACAGTCACTGTGTGATAGTGTTTAGGGAACAATGACCAAAAACATTAATCCATTCTGTTCTGGTGGGAGCTTCAACCCAGCCCCTGGCATCCATATATCCAAAGAGTCTGAAATATTCTGGTAGAAGTTCTCCCTTAATCCCCTCTTTCCCCAAGCCCTACTTCTCCTCTGAAAGCTCACCAAACACAGCTCCTCCCCCAGAGATGCTCAAGATCACTCCCACAGAATATTTAAACTGCTCCCCCATGAAAATAGACAAGTGGATTTTTTGGTCTCTCTTTCCCATCTCCTCTCTACGGAGCCAGAAAATCATCTGGGAGAGGTTTACCCATTAAACTGGGCTCTTTCTAATTCGATTGATTTGGTCTGATTGGATTGCTGTGTCGGCAGAGAGACCTATGGGGTGCAGGAACTTTTCACATTCGTGTTCAATGTAGATTCAATTCCCCCCCCCAGTAGTTATGATCCTTGGTTTGCTCTGCTCACAAGTGTGGAAGGCCCACTGTCCTTCATCATGTGCACAAATTCATCATGAGATACTCTAGTTAGTATCCAACCTAGGTCTGCCTTGTATCTGTCTAACTAAAATAGCTCTCTGACATAGAATCTAGCAAGCTTTGTTTGCTCTCTACCGCTGTGCTGAAACTCCATGACCAAAAGCAGCTTGGGGAGGAAAGAGTTTATTCAGTTTATACTTCTACATCATAATCCATCATTGAGGGAGGCCATGGCAAGAGCTCAAGCAGGAGAGGAATCTGGAAGCAGGAACTGAAGGAGGGGTACTGTTTGCTGGCTTGCTCCCTGTGGCTTGCTCAGCCTGATTTTTTTTTAATATATAGATAAACAATCTTGACTTGCCCAGGGGTGTCATTGCCTATAGTTTTCTGAAACCTCCCACATCAGCCATTAATCAACATTTACCCACAATGAGACATTTTCTCAGCTGAGGTTCCCTCTTCCCAGATGTCCCTAGCTTGTGTCATATTAACAACAACAACAACAAAAAAAAAAACTAACCAGTACACGAGCCTACCACATAACTGGGAAAACAACTACTTTGTTGGGGTTTTGCTTTTGGCTTCTAGAGAGTTCTGCTCCAATTTTTTTTTCCATTTGCTCATGACTCATCCTCAATGATCTGATCAGGGAATTTAATGAGGATGGAGAGGAGAAACTTGCGTCTATAGTTACAAGCTCTTTCCCCATCTTTAAAAAGCAGGGCTTTGTTGCCACCTCCAGCATCCCAGTTTCCCTCAGTCTCTACAGTCCTTAAATGTTACCAGTGGAAGATCTATACTCCATCTTCAGCGGTGAGTTCTCTCTACTCCCTGGAGTGTAATTTGTCCTGCCCAAGAGGCTTGAGCTCAATTACAGCAGCTTGGGGCTGTTAGAATATCTCTACTCATCTCAAACTTCAATTTTCCCTTACCTAGGTTCTCTTTTCTTTTTCAGTCAGATTGTTCTCTTTGGCAAAGATAAGGAGACAAAAATCTCTCTCCTCCCTATTCGGCAAGGTCAATGGTGTTGTGTTAATTGGTCTGCTGTAAACCTGCAAGGGCCTGGGTCTGCCTCAAACTCCCTCAGAGGCTGAGACAAGTGCTGTGTTAAGGGAAGAGTAGGTGTTAAAACACTTCCCAATGTGCATGGTAGTAACAGAATTTATTTGACATTCTCATAAAGTACCCAGACGAATGTCCTAGATCTGTTGGCAGCCATCTCCAAAGGTTTCTTCAACTTTGATGATCTGTCAGTCTTCCACACTGAACTTGTGTTCCACACGGTACCTGTGTTTGTCTACAACAGCACAGAAAAGAGGAAAGGGGGAATGGAAAAGTAAAAGTAAAAGTAAAATGGAAGGTAAAATTTTATTAGGTCATATCTGAAGGCACCGGTTTCTTTTACTTGCATGCCACTGGCTAAGTCTCAGTCACATGAGTAAACCTAACTGTAAAGGAGGCCATAGGAAATAGCTTAACTTTGCCGCAAAGGATGATGGGAAATGTAGTCTAGCTGCAAAGGAGGCTGGGGAGTGTAGTGTAATACAGGAAGAGACTTAAGGCAAATAGGCCAAAGTGGATGAGGGGTTAGACTTGGCAGTGTGCATTTTCAGGATTCCTACTTGATTCTTCCGTGGAGCATGCTTTGCACAGCTCTGCCCTGCCCATTCTGAACTCTTTTCAGATTCCCAGGGCTCTTGGCAAAGTGGCCTCCATGCTCCTCCATGTTCCTCCATGCTCCTCTCAGATTACCGTGATTGCCTGCTATCATCATAGAAAGCACCAGCAGCTCCTCTGCTCACGTGTTCTGCTCCACCGGCACGCTGGGTGGCTCTTGCTTTCTCTGCCTTCCCTCCTTCTGTCTGCTTGCCAAATTCCTTACTCTCCAGGCTTCTTGGGCAAAGTCGATCTTCCATGACTCACCTACCTCTCGTGGGCACTGATGAAGCCTTCTTCCTCCCTGTTCTACCGGGACTGCATCTCATTAAGGTATTGATCATGCTGAGTGGCATTCATTTAAGTCTGCTATCCCATTAGACAGGGAGATCCTCAAGGGCAGTGTCCTTTTCTTAATTATCTCTGTATCCTCAGCACCTGGCACCTTGCCTGGTACATGGTGGCACTCAGGAAGAGTGTGGTCTGCAGAAATCCTTACAGTTAGACAACTTTCTGCAATTACTTATCTGTTCCTTTTTTTTTATTTTATGCTCGTGCCAAATAAGAAAAGCTTTTCATTGTACTTACAATTTTGCTGTTTTGATTAACCTAATTAGCAAAGGTTTATGTGACTCTGTTGTATTTATGCCCCTTCTTCCCCGTTTGCACTTTACCCAAAGGTGACCTTCCCCGTGAGCCATTATGATTGCAACCACAAGCATTGCAACTCTAGTAATTACGCATTAAGAATTGTACTAAGATCACCCCTGCCTTCTTGAGCCATCTCCATTTTCAAGTTTAGCATTCCCTATCTTTTGATGATACTCAAAACCCCAAATTCTTGAGCTCCAGGAAATACATCCTCCCCCCCACACACTTATTCTTCAGCTTAATGGACACAATGGGATCTAAGATAACGGTTGAAATGGCCAGCCTCCAAGAGGCTTTCTCTGAACTCCTCTCTCTCTCTCTCTCTCTCTCTCTCTCTCTCTCTCTCTCAGACGCTTCCACACCTTGAAGCAGCCATGCAAAGACATACTCATCAACAAGGACCTAAAGCCTACAGCCAATAGTCTCATGCATGAACTTGGAAATGAATTCTTTGTCCCAGTCCAGCCTTAAGAGTTCAGAATCCCTGAGCCAATTAGACGGCTATATTTGGGATTCCTGGTATTGTGCAAGATAGTAAATATTTGCTATTTTAAGAATTTTGGGTGATGCCTAATACAACTGTCTCTCTTATGATAATTGTTATATTAATTTCCAAACTTTAGGTCAGACTTCATCAGTACCAGAGATGCAAGCATCAGCCAAGAGCACCCAAAGTACAGTCTAACTTCCATTTGGAGGTTTGAGACTTGTGTCTACAAGGAACCAAACACACCTTCCACCTGTTGAATTGCTCAGACTCACTGGCAATGTCAGACTATCTCCCTTCTCTCTGTGTATCAGAATTGAAAATTTTTATACTAGAGGCTCATTGATTTCTACATCTTTTGATGTAAGGATTAAGAAAAACAATTTAACATTTAAAAAAGAAGAACAAAAAAGGAGTTTTGACATATAGTAGTTGCTAAGTGAATGTCTGCTGCTATTGGCATTTTCATCATTGGTACATCTTTATTTTATATTCTTTCACCTCATCTCACAGATCTGCTGCCTTTGAACAGCACAGACACATTTATCACCACATCCTTCTTTATTCTCAACAAAACAGTCTTGATCATAATTATGAGAGTCTAGCTGCTCCCATTTTAAAACCTTAAGTTCTGTTGAATCGAATGTATCCTGTCGATTGGTATACAAAGATCCCCAATTCCAAACAACATTCAAATTTTGAGTCTTATGTCCAAGTGGTTCTAATTCCAATCTATTCTCAGTTTAATTTCTAACTGTTTCTACCAAATGTTTAACTCTCAAGATAATTTTGAAATTGTCTGAAACTATAGTGACATTTTTGAGGACTTAGATGCCAGTAAAAAGATGCCTGCTGCTGTCTAGGAAGGTGCACAGCCATCTACAAGAAATGCATTTCACTTGCCCCTTTCCTTGAATCTGCAACAAAGCAATCTATAAGGGATCAGGGTCTCTTAATGAAAATCCTCTGGTAAATAGTGTTCAAAGTTTCAAGTAACACATAGGGCTTTGGTAGTGTGGTAGCACGACACCCCCACCCCCACCCCCAACCCAGAATGCTTGGACTGAAACCTTTTCATCTCAAGAATACTCCATTCTTCCAATGACAATAGTATCATGTTTAAGCAGTTTCCACTCAGAACATTTTATGACATGATAAAAAAAAATGTGCCTTCTTTGGTATAATCAGACACGTGGTTCCGCTGCCCTGTTTTCCCCTACAGCCTAATTGCGGTGCTTTTTATACTTTGGCCTGAGACTTCTTCCTCATCTCTTCCTTTCAGGTGCCGTCGCCTCTACTTCACTCTTGAAGACCTCCTTTCACCGTGTGTTTTAACCTATGAGTTGCATCGGACCTCTCAGAAGTCGGTAAGTGATAAGCCTTAAATAAACAAAAATAATGTGTTTCTGAGCTGCTGTACGTGAGTGGAATTTTCAGCAAAACAGCCACCGGTTAAGCATCCAAGAGAAGAGCTCCCTTAGTAAGGGAAGCCCATGCATCCTCTAGGGATGCAAGCTGTGGAGTCTTCTGCTTTATCCTTTAGAATTCGCATCTCATGGGGTTTTTTTTCTTCTTTTTTACAGCAAGGTACTCTTGGACCAGATGGTGGCTTGGATCACAGATTTGGGCTATTTTAGGAGACTTGGTAAGATGCAGTGGACAGTCAATGGCCTTCACTGAAGCTACGTGAGTCATCTTTTCTTACCTTTGTCAACCTTGCTTCAAGAGCCTCTGCACAACATTGTAGACGTTCATCTGTTCACTGGCCATGGACTCAGGAATTTTTCCTCCTGGGCTCCTTTGTACAGAAGGTGCATGGTGCAGCCTCAGAAATTCTGATAAAGATCAATATGAAGATGAAGTGAAAATTTACATATTCCAAAGGATCCCCCAAGCAGCTGAAACCATTAGATGCTTGACTCTGCAAACACAGATGGATCTCACAGCTCCACTGACCGTTAGGCATCTCATTCTCAGGCTTCCCATTCATGGAGAAAACGAAGGACGCATCCCCAAGAGGAAGGATGCCTGTTACTTGTATGTATGCTACAGAATATCTCAGCTTTGGGAGTGCAGACAAGCATAAACCCCTTAGACAAAGCCTTGGCCGAGGCTCTGTTCGTTAAATGACTGTTAGAAATGAGATTTGCTCCCTAAAGCTGTATTCTAAGATCCCCCTGCCTCTGCCTGTTATTCCTCCAAAGCACACAGAGACTGCGGCATACAGTCATAAAGTCTGAATCCCAGTGTTGATCAGGGAGCATGGCACTAAAGCAGTGGTTCTCAACCTGTGGGGTCGCAATCCTTTTATGGGGGGGGGTCGCATAGTAGATATTAGCATTATGATTCATAGAAGTAGTAAAATTACAGTTACAAAGTAGCCATGAAAATAATGTTATGGTTGGGGTCACCACAACATGAGGAACTGTATTAAGGAGTCTCACCACTAGGAAGGTGGAGATCCACTGCTTTGTTTATTGAATAAAAGGGAGCAAAGAGACTACAGAGCATGAAGATGGGAAGGAGTGGTTTGAAGTCTGCCTTCTGACACGACATAACCATTGCCTTGGTAACTCCTACCAGCTGTGGCTACCTGCACAAAGCCCACACAAGATGGGTGCTGTCAACATTCCAGATTGGGTGGCGGGAGACTCACGAGGCCTGACACCTCCCAGAGTTGGACATTAATGGTTACTAGGGGTGGGTGAGTCATCTGCTTTCAGCGTTGTAGCCACTGAGTATTTAGCCATGCTCCTGTAAATTACCTCCCACCCACGTTCTTGCAAACAGCCCTAATTAAACCCAAGGGGTCACTAAAATCAAAACAAACAAACACATGACATGGAAAAGGAAGGGAAACTCAGAAAGGAGGAGTAGGAAGGGAAGAGAAGGGAGCAAGAGAGAGGGATGGAGGATAAAAACGATGAAACGATATTATGCACATGTATTACATCGTTAAAAAGTAATAAAGAAGTGGACAAATGAAACAAGAACAGTCTGGGTCTCTGTTCTAGATAGGAGGCCACTGTTCTGCCTCTGGTCTAATTCTGGGCTTCAGAATGACCAGCCATGACATGATCCCAGCCTTTTGCCCTGCCAAAAACCCAGAGGGAGTTGACAAACAGTGGCATCAATGAACTCCGGAACACAGCAGGGGTCAGGCAAGCTCATTGCCTCTTTATTCTTAAAAACAGCTCAGAAATGTCAGGAGCCACCAGGGCTCAATCCTCTCTCAAAAGACTCCCGAATTTTATCCTTACTGAACAAGCTTCAGTGAGTAAAAGAATCCTCTAAAACGCAATTAAATTTCCCTTCCCAGATCCTACCAATCATTTGGGTTTTATTTTTATACTCTCTCATAAACACTGGCCTCTTCTTAAACATTGAAAAGTAAAGTTGAAATTTGATCATTATAAATAATTCATTAACCAATAACTCTGCTCTGAGCAGCATCCCTTCATCACTACCCCTCCTCCTCCGTGGACGCGTCACGGCATCCATGGGAAGTGAAGCTGATCTCAGAAACACACAGACTATGTCTCCTGCCAGTTTGGGAGTCAGAGCCACCCAGGAAAATTGTTAGTGGCTCTGTTTAATTAGCGCTCCTGCCACCTGCAAACAAGTGGTACTAAAAAAGGTGCTGAATTCTTGCCATTGAGAATCCCAAAAAAAGACAGCTTCAGCTCCACTCTGAGCCTTAGAATACAATATTTCACGGATGTAGGCAACAGAGGAATTATACTTTCATTTTCAACCTCCCCCCAATAGTTTTCAGCAATAAGTGATGCTTCAGAAACTGTGTTCAGATTAATTCTTAATCCAATGCTCCTACTACCCCAGATCTGCTAGACCCTGCCCCTTGCACGAAGCCACCCTGACCAGCCTTGCTCTTAGGGACATCTGTGACTCCCCTTCACATCTGGAGACCCCCTCACATCTGAACACTAAGTTATATTTCTTGCTAACACTGCTGTTATTTTAACCCTTGTCAAGAACAAGTCAAAAATGTTATTTAGTTGCCTTAATCCTTTGAGGGGGAGTAAGCAGGGTGAAATGATGATGACCAACTATCTTATGCAGTTAAATAGTCCCCAGCTTAAGTGTTTGGCACGTGTCTTTGTGACACATCCCAGAGTAAGGTGGCCCCAGGAAGACTTCAGCAATTGGGACTTAAATTCCTGTCTCCATCAATGGTATGGGGTTGGATTGCAGGACACACAGAAGGTGTGAAACAGATTTTTGTAGACTGATTTAGCCACTGGAAGAACAGTTGGTTAGGTTGGATTTATTAAAGCTTGAGATGCCAAGTAGGGGTGGTTTTAGTGGAACACTATATTAGAAAAACAGGTTCACGATAGAAGCACAAACTCCAGCCAGCAGAGCCCGGCAGCTGCTCTGTTTATATCCCCTGTACTGCTGGAGACAGATGTCCTGTCGAACCTGAGGATTCTGATGAGGCTTCCACTCTTCCAAGGAACCCATGCGTTCACTAATCAAAGAGACTTGCCCCTTGTCTATGAGTGTTCTGGATTCCAAAGCTGTTTCCCATTCTGGGTTCAGAACAGACTAAGAATCAAGGCAAAAATCAACATCCATAGTGTCCACTGCAAGGGGAAGACGCTGGGTTAGCAGCAAAAGAAATTGCGTTGGTGTTTTCAGTACAGTGTGTGTTTGTGTGTGTGTGGGGGGGTGAACCAATGGTTTTGGAAGTAAGCACACTGAAATTCCAGCTCTGTTACCTGCTTGCTGTGTGACCACAGGACCTCATCTTACCCTCCCTGGACTTAGGCAGTTAATAATATCAACTGCGCAAGTGTCTGTGATGACTGACAAGGTATCATTAATAAGAGACGCTGACACAGTGCTCCGCATGCAGTAGCCACCAAGTAAGTGATTATGCTGTTGAGGTTGTTGCTATAGACACAAATAAAGGGAGAAGTCCATCCTGGCGCAGAAGGTGTATGTGACTCTCTGGTCATCCCGATGGCTTCCTGTAGATAAGAGCAGGGACTTTCCAGCACAAAGCTGTGGTCTGCTAGGCCGCACAAAGAATGTCATATGCTCTAAGTAGAAAATGAATGTTCTGGAGTATTCCAATGTACCTCCCCACGTATGATGAGTCCGTTCTTTCCTAAGCCACCCACACGAGGAATGCATATTAATCCTGATCCTAGAACTCAACTTGTGGGTCAGCACAGGAAGGGTTGGCTATGGGAACGTCAATAGAAAGATCCGCACTATGGCCAGAGAGGTCCCCGTGCACATGCATAGCCAACAATTCCCAAGTACCATGCAGAGAGAGAGATCCATGCCAAATGTGGATCTTGTCCAAGGGAAACATAAAACAACCAAAGTGAACAACCCAGAAGAGATCTAGACGTAAGTGAGATCTATAAAAGCAAGTAAGAGATTCCTCACACAACATGGGCCCAAAGCCCTAGGTGCAGTGGGAATGGGGGAATGAACTACAATGATTCAGATGAACCAGAGCTCATGAGTAGTCCAGGGCTGTCCTCAGCTGCTTTCTATTGCTGTGATCAACACCATAGCCAAGAGCAAATGGGGAGAGAAGGGCTTACTTCATTTTACAGCTTACAGTCAGTCAGGAAGGGAAGTCAGGGCGAGAACTCAAGGCAGGAGCCTCGAGGGAGACGCTGAAGAGACCATGGAGGAGCACTGCTTACTGGCTTGCTTTCATGCTCAGCCTGCTTTCTTATAGAACCCAGGACCACCAGCCCAGGCATGGCACCACCCACAATGGGCTGAGCCCGCCCACATTAATTATTAATCAAGAAAGTGCTCCCACAGACTTGCCTACAAGCCAATCTCATGGAGGCATTTTCTCAGTTAAGGGTCCTTCTTCCTGAATGACTCTGACTTGGGTCAAGTCGGTAAAAACAAAAACAAGTACAAAAAACAGCACAACTGATCTCTTGTCAATGTGAAACACAAACACATCGCTATTAAACCAATAACCTTTTCTTTGACTTATCTCAAGATCTCCTGTTAATATCATAGTATAAATCTCAGTATAACCACTTTTTTTAATTTTTAACATTTTAAAAGTCCAAGTTCTCTTTTGAAGTCCACAGCTTCTCAATTGTGAATTCCTATTAAATAAATAAATAATAAACAGCTTTAAATGCTTTTTTTTCTTTTTTACTCCAAAAAGGAAGACCAGACGAAGTCACGATCAAAGCAAAGCAGAACCAAACTCCAACACTGTAAATTACACTGTCTAACATCTTGAACTCACAACCTTCTGGGCTCTGAACGACTTGAGTAGACCCACGTCTCCAGCTCTGCCACCCACAGCAAATGTAGCTTTCCTCCTAGACTTAAGCCAGTCTCCTCCACAAATGCCACTGTCCTTGGTGGCTAACCCATGGGTCTGGCATCTTCCACATCCTGTACAGGTCTCCACTGTAACCGAGGCTGTGCATAACCAACAGCCTCTTCTGGACTCCCAAGGGACACTTGCCACATGTGACAAGCCACAGACTTTCCTACTGGCCGTAGAGGTGGAAGTATTGTCTCAATCCAGGGTCCTTCTTACCAAATGTCCAGCTTACAACAAATCATTAACAACAAATGAAAACCTAACCAGCACAGGGGGCAGACCTTTGTATAAACAGCCAGCTTCACAGCAAATAGCTCATAGCCGGACTGAATTCCACAAAAGAAAATGTGGCCTCTCAAGATCCTATTTGCATTCGGGCTCAGATGAAAGGAGGGTAGGGTGAGGAGCATGTGGACACACCCTCTGTGATTCTAAGCCGCACAGGTCACCTCTTTCCCCGGACATTTTGACCCCCTTGCGAGCAGTTACCAAGCTCCAGCCCTGGGGCTTCTGCAGCCCTCCAGACTCTGCACCCTCCGCGTCTCTCCAGTCTGCCTCTCTTCTACAGTAATGCTTAGCAAGTCAACTGGGAGAAACCTCCTAGTCTCACCTAAAGAGAGCCCAGGAAGGATTCCTGGAGTGGACTGTTTCTTCATTCATTTCAGGGCTGTTCAAAACAATTGGTGAGAAACTACCGACGTCCAAATTGCCAGATTTTAACCTATTCCAGACCCTACAAACCTTTGCCACTTTCTGTAATGCCTACAGCTACTACACAGGAAAACGCTCAGGATGCAGCCGGTGGAGTCCTGCAATGTTCACTATTGGTGTGCACACGCAGATCATCTCAGAGGATGGAGTCAGTCACACGGAACCCGCATGTCCATGGCTTCATTCTCCTTCTCTTTGCACTAGGTTACCTGGGATATTGTCTATGCATCTCTTTTGAAGCCCAAGTTATCCCAGCTTTCTTCCCTGCTGTCTATGCTCGGCTACCACCTCATTTTGCCACCTCACCAACTTGCTATTCAAACCACCATCAGGTTTACTTTGAGGATCTCTGGGGGCTGTTTTTCCCTCAGACCCCCCCCATCTCCCTTTGAAGAGCCTCTGTCACAGCCTGTCACACCAGCTGTCCCAGATTTCCTGTCGTGGAGGTAAATTCCTCTTGGATGCAAGCACTCTATACCCTCAACCCAAGGCTTTCAAGCCTTCATACACCAAAACTTTTATCTGATATTTATTCCAGGAAATGCAGTTACTCTAACACCATCGGACCATCTCCCCAGTGTCTTCCTTCTTTGCTGACAGTTCTCCCGCTACCCTCAGTAGATTATTATTATTTATTATTTATCAGCCATGACACTATACTGTGCTGCCTACAAGATATTAAAGGATATACAAGCCCTGCACTGAGTTTACAGCCAAGACGGCAGAGCTGTGCAGCTGACATCACATGAGGCCGCTGAGAGGAAGAACCACCGACAAGTTCTCCGTCTTCTCTGGTAGACAGGAGTGGATGCTGGCAAAGCCTCCTCCACAGGCCGGCCCTCCCAAAACAGACCTAAGAACCAGCCACATCTCTCCCCTATTACAGGCACCCATCCCCAATTTCTAACCAGACCTTAGGCCTCAGAGTATTTTCCTGTGTGTTTGTGTGTGTGTGGGGGGGGGTTATGGGTGAAGAGAAATGAAGCGTGGGGAATAAACCCACTGACCATAATCTTCAGAGTGGCCTGGAGGATGGAGGGGAGTCACAGGCTTTTCCTCTGAATCTCAAAATAGGCGTGGGGGAGGTTGGGGGCAACTGGAAATAAGAGACAGACGAGCAGAGTTACCAGGAAAGACTGGTACCGAAAAGAAGCACTCTGGCGAGATGAAAAACCCCACACCGGATAGCCACAGGTCTCCAGTCCAAGTTTCCCCATAGGGTTCCAGTTAGGGTCTGCGTAGACAGCATGCGGAGGGAGAGGGGAAGACTTGGTGTGGACCTTGGGAGGGCTGGCTGACTGGCGCTGCATCTGGAGGGTCAGAGTAGGCAGCCAGGCCTGTGTGGTCTGAACAACCCAGGGAGGTCTGTAAAAAGAGCAAAGTTCTCAGATGCTCAGAAGTCAGGGCAGATGCAAGGAGACAGGATTGGCGTGGCTTGCGGTGGTCCTTCGGAGACGTGGACCTTTCCTGCTCCTTCTCGTGGCCGGAGTGTCATAGGGAGGGCGGAAGCGGAAAGATGATTGGACTTCTCTTTCTCAAACTTTCCACCAGTTTCCTCAGGTGTTGAGAGCAGAAGGGAAGCTCCCTTCATTCCGGATCCTTCAACCCCGGGCTCTCGGAAGCCTGAGGCCATGGCCCAGCAGCCCTGCCACGCGCCGTGAGTCTGCCGGGCGCGGCCACGGAGCCGGGCGAGCCGGGAGTCATCGCAGGGGGCGGGGGCGGCGGACGGACGATGGACACACCCG